TTTCAGGGACCAAAAAACTCTCACGTATGCAGAGTACAATATTATTCTATTCGTTTTGATCATCTGAAAAAGCAAAAGTTCTCTAAATTCTATCTATCTATCTATCTATCTCTCTATCTATCTATCTGTCTATCTATCTATCTATCTATCTCTCTATCTATCTATCTGTCTATCTATCTATCTATCTATCTATCTATCTATCTATCTATCTATCTGTCTGTCTGTCTGTCTGTTTTTCTGTCTGTCTATTCGTCCGTCCATCTATACACATTTACCCAGCCGATAAACTGTGATTGTTCACTTTATATCAGTCAGATGCCTATTTCCTGTCTAAGTGGGTGGTTTACTCCAGGATTAGCCACAGTATGACCCATTGATTGGCTTTGGGAGGCTAATACGTTCCTAACATGCTCCAGGAGTTACACCACAAGCAGTAAAGAAGTTTCAAAAACAATCATTTCATTTCCTGTGAGTCTTCTGTTTTTATGTGACCATTTGAGAATCTACAAAACCAGCTGCAACTGGTATTTAGAACAAAATCTTTTTGAGAGGAGAAAAAATCATTTTGAGAGCAACTGTACTCGATTTGCAGACACTGCTCTTATAGTGAAATAACTGAAAGCGGCTGTCAGAGGTGTAATTGCATTCTAAGTGTAAAACCCAAGCACATTGGATTAGACTACAGTATGGAGCAAAGCTAATTGAGTTTTGGTCCTGCTGGCACATGTATGCTGGAAACATTTATCCAACATTACCACCCATTAGACTCCACAAAACCCAGAGTCTGGCAGCAGAGTGGCAGAGGATTGTGATGCCTTCATATAAGGGTGGATTTATCTGCTCTGAAGCCCAAGACCAAGAAACCGCCTCTTTGCTGCACTATGCAAAATACATAAATTATCCACATGGGCATGATACAAAAGGAAACTTCTTAGGGAATATAAAGGTCATAGATGAAAACACAAGATAATATTTGTAGCTCCTCACTGTCAGGCTCATATCTTGCATGTGTGTTTATTCAATATTTTGACTATATGGCTATATATCCATACATGACATTTTACTATGTTTAAATCCATTCTGCAGATCCTCCTTCATAATCAGATTTCATCTCTGCCTGTTCATCAAATGATATTGTCAGCCATTATATGGAATACATTTGGGAAAATATGAACTCCATGTAATGGGAGAAGGCTCAGATGTACATACTGCAAGTAATGGACAATGAAAAATCAGATACTACAAGGGTGATGTGTGCATTACCAACATAGAGAGATATATTACAACCTATTGATTTTACTTTCCGCTATTATATTGCATGTGTATTATAATCAAATATTTACACACATGATATGTAGGGTCAGTATATAATGTCTCATGTCCCTTACAAAAAGTATTCTAGAAGTACTGCTTCATTGTTAACTAAAACTAAAATGAAACTAAAACTGTGAAAAATTGTTTTTTAATTGAAATAAACTACAAATATTAGATGAAAAACATCAGCTTAAAAAAACTATTTATTAAAAAAAAAAAAAAAATGTCGCCTTAGTAACTAACTTAAATAAAATAGATTTAAGTTGAAGTACTAATATTACTAAATGTAACCATATTACTAAATGCGGTTTATCACATCTGAAACAGAAATATTGGGATTTTTAAATGTTTTTTTTCTAGGTCACTAACATAATATAATATATTATATTATATTATATTATATTACACTATACAAATAGTTAATCATTTCATTTCCATTATTCATGCCCCCCAAAAAATGAAAACTGTATTATATATGCCACAATACTTTTTTGTAAGTGATGGCTAGATTATTTAATGCATTACTTTTATCGTTACTCCACTGATAGTATCCTTTTCCGAATGTTTTATTTCACTCCTGCATTGTCTTTGACTCTCTTTGTGTTCCTGCAGCAGGCAGCATTGTTTCTCTCTGTCTCACTCTCTATGTCTCTGTCTCTCTCTCGCTCTCTTTGGCAGGCTGCTGTGTGCCGTGCACAGGCGCAGCCTGGCTCTGTGGGGAGGCTGATCTAGTTATATAACAGTCGGTGCAGTCGTTGTCTGCTGGAAGATGAGCATGCAGGCATCCCTGTTACATAAGCCTGTTAGGATCAAATTGTCACACTGTGGTGCATTCACAACACAGTGTCCTTGCTACTGTGCTTCTCTCTCTTGCTTGCTCTTGGGAAAGAAAGCCCAACATAAGGATGGTCCAATGTAGTTCAAAGACCGTGAACTGTGCAATCACGGTTCTGCCAATCACAACAGACCTCTCTGTATGGCCTAAACCCCCCACCCATGCGGCCGTCATGCACCTCACAGCCACACGCCCAGTCAGGTGTCCTGTTTGACTCAGACGAGGACGGCGACTGTCATGACGATGGAGCCAGCAGCCCTCTCGTTCTCCACAGGCAGTCTGAACGACAGTGGCATCCAGTGACAGGATCAGGCAGCTGAGGGCTATGACTCATCACCTGAATGCCAGGTGAACTTTACCGGACACCTAAGAGTCTCCAGGAGTCCGTCTAAGCCTTCTAAATACACAGCGTTGACCCCACTGAGATGGTGAGAGTCTCACCTAATCTCTTCACTAATTTTAGAGCCAGAACGTTGACCTATTCAACAGCAAAACATTCAGTCCGACGTTATTGTGACATCACTGGGCTTTACGGTGGAAAAATGCACAATAACGTGCTGGTTTTGTCATGCAATGTCGCTCTAATTGACCCCACGGTGACCTTCTTACGCATTCAAGTTTTGCTAGTTTTCACTCAGTTCCTCAAGCACCACTATTGTGCTTCCTTGAAAGTAATTTGACTCTTGTGAAATAAATATATAAAAAAGCACAATAACAGGTTGGAGGCCCAGCAGGCGTTGAGTTGAACTAGAACGAAAATTAAACAAACACTATGAAAAATTATTTTTGTTAACTGAAGTGAAGCTGAAATAAAATAGAAATATTGGATTAAAAAACTTGCATTTAAAAAATCTGAACTAAAATGACTAAAACTGTCTAAACTGACTAAAAATATAATATAATATAATATAATATAATATAATATAATATAATATAATATAATATAATATAATATAATATAATATAATATAATAATGAAAATAAATTAAAGCTACATTTATAGTAAATGAAAACAAAAACTATTAAAAATGACAAAAGTGCATAACAAGCTTGCTATACAGTAAAATCAAATTGAAAACTGAAAATATTATAGTAAAAGTTAATTGAAAATATTAATAAATACTATAGTATTACATCAAAAAATCTTAAATTAACACTGGGTGTTATCAGATGTAATACAATGGCACTACAGTTGAGTCCAAAAGTCTGAGACCACATAAAAAATATGGTATTCAATATCTTATTTAAACCTAGAAATGAACAGAAAGTTGGGAGTTTTGAAAATTATTATTCTTACACATTCAAATTTTTGCTCAGTTCCTCAAGCACCACTGTGCTTCCTTGAACGTAATTTGACTCTTGTAAAATAAATATAAAAAAGCATAATAACAGGTTGGAGGCCCAGCAGGCTTAGTGTTTGGAAAGCTATATTTATGCCCAGTAATTAAACTGTCCTTGGGCTATTGACCCAGCACTACATTTGCATCCTTTAAACAAAGCATTCCTTTGTCAACCGTTTGTCATATGGTAGTCAGGGTGACTGTTTAGATTCATAGAGTGTTGTGAATACTGTAGTATATTCAGAGACAAACAACAGAACAGATACCCAAGCTTCATTGTGTTTCGCTGAACTCAACTTACACGGTCTGGGAATTTTTTAAGGCTGTGATCAAACCGAGTCCTGTGTTGGTGGGGCAATAAGGAAGTAATCTGATTGGAAATATAAATCCAACAAGGAAAATGAAAAGACAACTAATTCCCAGCAGATTTGGTGCGGCTTTGAGCTTTTTAGAACTTCTTTCTTGGGAATTGGTATACAAAGGGCCTTTGGAAAGTTTTGGGGAAACATGGAGTGATAATTTACTACTTAGGTTTGTTTTTATAATATACTTGGGAATAGCTGCACTTTCCTGGGAGTTTAGTAATGTTCTGGTTTACTTTTCCTCCATGCCCCTGGGAAAGAGTTAAATGAATGAAAGTCCATGCTGATGGTTAACCCCACTAATAGTCCCCATGTGGGCCATGCTACCATTAGTGCAACTGAGAAGCTTCAGTCCTACTAAAGAGCTCAACTGAGTCAGGGAATTGTGCTGACATAAGCAACCCAGTACGCATCCCCCAGATGGGCTTGCTCATGAAACACTTGCTCTGTTTGTGTTAAGGCATTCTCACCCTATATTCCATAAAATATGTGACTTTGGTTATGATCACAGTTACTAATATCAATTTAGCTGATATTCCACAAGCAATTAGAAATAATATCAATTATATGAAATTATTTGGAGTACTTGAAATAAGTATTTTATTAAGTATTTAATAAAATAAATAAAATAATAATATAGCTTTTTTTTTTTTTGAGTATTTATTGTGAATATTATCTACACTCATAATTACTCATCCTCATTTTGTTACAAGCCCAAAGATTGTATAATGGAGAAATCAAACACTTTTAAGCGTTTTTTTTATTATTATTATTATTATTATTATTATTTCATTAAATACAATACTGCAGAAAGAAAATAGAAAATCACAGGCTTAGAACAACATGAGGGTGAGTAATTCATGACAGAATTTTCATTTTGGGTAACTTGTCCCTTTAAAAATACATACAAAAATATGAGAACGTTTTAAACGCAGGAATATTGGTTGTTAATAATATCTAAACATGAAATGAAGAATACCGGGACAAGGAATTTTTGGAATGTTCCATGACGTCACCTCGCAGTGGCTGACAGCGAGGAAGGAGCTACAAATTAAGGTACTTTCTTCGGCCAATGGGCGTCGCGGAAGTATACTACCTCATGATTATTAATCACCCCTAGAACTGCGAGAGCACGGGAGGGGGCGGGACCGGGACCCCCGGGGCGTCGCGTGCAGGGTGGTGCGGTGTGAACTGTTTGCGTTGCGCGACACTGTGGCTGTTGTTTTTGCGCTGATCAGCTGAACGTATGATACGCGCTTCGAGTTTGACAAGCAGGAGGGGAAGCCCTGTTGGCTCGCGAGCGTCTAAATAACGCCGAGAGAGGCGTCAGCGACGATTCCGGTTGACAAGCGATGGGATGCGGACCACGACACGCTGCCCTGAAGAGTAAATGGCTACAGCAACGCCAACAACTGTGTCAGGTATGGTGTAGCGTGTAAATGTTTTGTGTTTCTTCATATACGTCTATTTTGGTGAATTGGTAAGCATATTTAGTAAGTGTTTTCCTTTGATGTATTGATTAGGCAGGAATAACATTTGGTAAGTCTGTTAGTAAAACTTAGACGTGGCGTTTTGCAGGAATTACTGTTTTAAGTGAAAATCGTAGAAGCTATTACACTTTTCATACGTTAAATATGAAGATTGACTTCCTGTAAACAATGCGGCACGATATGAGTCAAATCAGCTGTCTGGATTGTTCAAACAAGTTGAGAAATGTAGCGCGAGCCCATGGTTTTGTCCCGATGGTCAGCCAGGAATAACGTTTTGCTACATTAGAGTAACATGGCAAACCACAGACCGCAGGAATCTGACACTCTTTCCTAATTCTTGGAAATGATTGAACATAGACGGAGTCCCCTGCTGTGTGTGGAGTATACAGTGAGCACTGGACGTTTGCTCATAAAGAAATGATGGTTAAAGGGGTAGTTCACTCAAAAACTGTTAATTATTCACCTTCATGGTTTTCCAAACTCGCATGACTTTCTTCCGTCGAACACAAAGCGAGATGTTAAGCGGTATGTATCATGTTAGGGACTGATAAGCCTCAGTCATCATCCACTTCCATTGTAACTTTTTTCCATACAGTGAAAATGAGGCTGTCATTGTTCCTAACATATAATTAAATAAAGTCATGCACGGTAGAAACAACACGAGGCTCAGGAAATTTTAGAAGAACTAATGTTTCGAACAGTCAAAAAATCTCTGGGGGAAAAAATAGTTAGTCGAACACTGGTAGAAACAACACGAGGCTCAGGAAATTTTAGAAGAACTAATGTTTTGAACAGTCAAAAAATCTCTGGGGGAAAAAATAGTTAGTCGAACACGTTTTGTGAACGATTATGAACCATATGAAAAAAAAAACTGGAACAATACATTCACTAATCCGGTTCTCTAGTTCAGTCATACATATTTATAAATGATTTTTGAAGTGTAAAGTTGGCATGAAAATGTACGCTATTTATTTTCTAAATGCATGTATAGATCTTATTGTGAACAAATTAATCTGTGCATGCTTCATTTAAAAAAATAAAAATAAAAATTGACCTCGTAATGTTTAATGAAAATGTCATAATTGGACCTTTCGGTGAAAACAACTGACTTTTCAGGACTTATCCAATCATTTTGTCCATTTAAATCCTGCCCCTTCGAGCTCATGGTCATCTGCCTCCACTTTTGAGTACAACGCCCACATTTCAAAATCCAATCCACAACCAATGCATAGAACCTTAGAAGTCCCTGCCCTATTTTTCTTTTGCGATAATCCATTTCACTCAGATGTATGTCACAATAAGGAGGAACCGATCTGTCGCTACTTTCATTTCATTGTGACTTTAACATCAACACTGGTTTAAAAAGTGACGTTATAGTCTGGGAGGTTTGCTTAGAAAATATATCATAATTAACTTATTATGATCATCTTTCATATTGTGATTATATAATCATGCACTCTTCTTGATGTCAGGGACTATATGTTTGATACAGGCTGGTTTTGTTTGGAGTCAACTCTCTAATGTGATGCAAACAGTTTCCATTATATCAAGTAACATGAAGAACTTGGCTTCGTTTGCCTCTGACACAGTTGGCTAGAGCTAGTTTCCTTTAATGCAGTGTGTGGTGGTGTGGAGGGAGTGTATTTTTGAGTGTATCAGCACAAAGCGAAGAACTCTGCGATTGAGACATGTTATTGCTTGAACTAGGTGGCAACAGTGCTTGAGCAGAATCTAAAGGGAGGAATGGTGTTGGCCTCTTTCCTTTTTTTATTTACCGTAATGTCCCGTAATACCACTTTTCATTTTCATTATGAATCCCTGTTTGCAATTTGGAATATTTTTAAGTGACTTTTTGGCAACAGTGACTGGATACAAGGTGTTAATAGCTGATGTGAGCAAACTTTCAGGTGTGATCATAGAAAATATTTATAATGCTTAGATGAATAGTTCACTCAAAAAAAAAAAAGATTTAGAAAATTGAAAATTTTCCCGTGGACTAGAAAATAATTTATGAAAATCTTCATGGGGTCTTTTTCCATAAAAAAAAAAAACAGCTCATAGTGACCAAAATGTGTAAACAATCCAGTGATTGCATTAAAAATCGCATACTCTCCAAGTAATTTAAAGGGGTCATGACATGTTTTTCATGCCTGAGGTGTAATTATAGTATTACTAAAGGTTTTTGGACAAAAAGCATTGTGATTTATGACCTTTTTTCACCCCGTTTCTTATCCTTTGACTGAAACAGTCGGTTTTGGGGTGTTTTCCCTTTAAGAGCTCAGTGTAACCACCCACTTTTATGATTGGCTAACATCCATTACTGCCATTACCGTTTTAAAAATAGTTTTTACATGAAATACGTTACTTACAGTTTGTGGCATCGTTGTTGGCATGGCCTGATTTTTGAGCAAAAGTAAAGCCAGCATCATACTGCGATTTGTTCTCAAAACAGTCAACGGTGAAATGTACTGAACACACGTGTAAATTAGCACTGACTTGACTGGGGCGTTCGCTAGAAATAAACTGAATCCATTTTTCTCTGACATCGGGAATCGGGATCCTTCGGCAGCGTATACAAACATGTTGTTTTTCCACAGCCAGGAACGGCACATCGTCTGCCTGGCATTGCAATCTTTTTCAGTGTCACCAACTATATAGTAGGGAAGTATGCATATTCGGATGCAGCCAGTCTGATTCATGAATCGTTCATGAGTCTGATTTATGTACTGGGTCTGTTGAAAAGTACTCATTCAAAACTGACTCCCTGCATTTGAATATGACTTCCCTATTATGCATGTTAGAAAGTATGCTCTTTGTACACTATATAGTGTGCAAAAAAATATGGTACATCATGGGCAGTATGTTTGAATACACAGTATTAATAAACAATTAGCGAATAAATACCTGGATGACATTCTACTTCCATTCTTTTTTGTTCCACATAGAATGACATAAACATGAGTAATTACTAATAATTGACAGAATATAAATTTTTGGGTGAGCTATCCCTTTAATAATTCTCATAGATGGCCCTATTATATTGAAATAAACTATTTCTAAAGAAACAGAATTTTAATTGTGTATCTTCCTTATAATGGTTTCATTAGAAAAGAGCATGGCAAGGTCAAAAAAAACATTTGTAACTTTCGTAGTCAAACTCTCTTGAAATCCACGGAGGTTGCAGAGGTTAACGGCCGCGTGTCGCCAGTAAGCGTGAGAGAATCTTTAATGACCATTGCTTTCCTCGTTAGGCAGGACACCGCAGCACCTGTGGTGTGCTCTAACCTTCAGACTAATGAGCTGTTGGCTGAATTTCGTCTTGAAGTTTTCCCTGGCTTTAACTGCTCCATTTACATTTCTTTCACATGCAAAATGGAGCACATGAAAGATATGTCTCAGTACAACAATGGCATTGAAATTCACACTGTGAAGAAAAATAATAACGTTCTCTGCTGATGTTAATGTCCTTTGTTTAATGCCAGCATGCCACAAGGGCACCATCAGTGGCGGATGGCATGAAGTGTTGTAGATCTGAGGAAGAACTCACTGGCCATTATCACAGTATGTGCCTAGTGCCTTGTCTTTATTAGCCCTCACTAAATCGTTTTTCTCCTCTTCACCTCATTATCAAACATATTCACAAACATAAACGCTTGTGGACATCAAGTTCGCCGTTTGCTTCTCCCCCTGCCCACACTCCTGTAGCAAGTGTTTTTTTTTTAAACTTCGAACAGGCTTACTTTACCTAAGACGTGCTGCAGTACAGATATTTGACACATTTAAAATGTTGCTTGAATGCAGAGACAAATTACTCGAAATAACTTAACTGGCCAGAAAAATATCTCTTTTGATTTAGACACTGATTATTTAATTATTACCAGGACAATCGTTCATAAAGTTTTTTTTTTGATATCATTGAGAACTTGCATGTTCTTTTATTAAATATTCTGACTCATTTTGTAACGCTTAAGTCCAGTGGTTTTTAAACTTTTTGATGCTTTATTAAGTTAACAGCAGTGTTATTTTAGTATGATATGCTGTTGGATTTTTGGTAAAACTTTAGTATGGGGAACATACATCCACTATTAACAGCTTTTGCCTGAACAAACTCTGAATTTACTGCTTATTAATAGTTAGTTATGTAGTTGTCGTAGTGGTTAAGTTAAGGTATGGGGTATAGGATTAAGGGATGTAGAATATGATCATGCAGAATAAGCCATTAATATGTGCTTTATAAGTACTAATAAACAGCCAATATCCTACTAAAAAGCAACTAGTTAATAGTGAGAATTGAACCCTAAAATACAGTGTTACCATAGTTTTGATTAATACTTTGAATTAGATTCTATTTTTATTGTCTGGTTTCACTTTAAAGTTAAAGTTTTAGTAAATTTGTTGTGTTTTGTGATTAAAAAAAAAAAATATGTATGTACAGTTTTTATTCATTTTTATTAGTTTTAGTTATTTTAGAACTTAAAGTTAAACTAAATGAAAATGAGAAATGTTGCATTGGCAACTAGCTGAAATAAAGTAAGTTAATAATTTATTTTAAGTTATCATTTATATTGTTTCAGGTAACAAAAATGTATTGTATTTAAGTTTTTAGTTTTAATGATAATATTCCTGGTTAACTGCTTCTTAATGTTAAAAACTAGCGCTGTACATAATATCGCAGTTAATCGATTATGTTTATATCATGATTTCTGACCAGTCTTTACAAAGCAGAATGATACTGTAACTATCAAATTTGGTCAGTGCGAATGAAAAGTTAAGAGTACACTTAACTTTTAACACATTTAACCATATTTAAATGCAATTATTTTGTACTGCAGCAGTCAGTAGAATTTATAATATAATCTGTAATTGTAATATTGTATTACATTTTTTTTTGTCTTCTGATAGAAAGAGCCATTGCATTTTTATAGAAGTGC